CCCACCATGTTAATATCTGACCTTCATCATGTACGACATCATGTGAGCTGAGTTAAATAACATCATTGTTGGCATGCATTTCCAAAAGTTACTTTGGTAGTTTGAGTTGTTTTAGCCTAAGCACAGTTTTGACATGAAGAATGTCTGCCTCCAACTAAATAAGAATCCCCTTAATGACCTTTTCTATGGAGGAAAAAAAAACATTTTTAAAAAATTGACATTGCATATAGCACTTGTTCCTTGCTGGTTAGTGACAATTAAATGGACTTGAATAGAGTCCTTGCAGCATCACATTGTCTTAAGAGTCCTTTACCGTTCTTCCCTCTAATACAATGGTTGTACCCATGCCTCCTGTTTTTTTTTTTTTTTGTTTTTTTTTTTGATAACCCAAGATTTTTATAGAACTGTACATGCCTGTAAATGAGTTTTATGCACTTGTCATGTGTGTTCATGGCACTAAGTAAAAATAGCTGGAAAGTGAGTTCCTCTTTCATTATATTCATGAAAATACAGTAATAGAGCAGCCTGTCCTGGAAATAATGCCAGGAATTTGGTTTATACGCCATGCATGCACAACAATTAACTTTTGAGCAAGGAAGTTAAAATAAGTCCTAATAGTTGTGGTTATAACATAACATGTTTGTGATATCATTGACAATGTCGAACATCAGAGCCACTGGCGAAGGATTTTAATCTGACTGAAAGTTTGATTCACAATACATTTGTAGTCTGAATCGCCGGTTTTAAGATCATTGCATAAATAACTACATCAAGTAAGGTAAACAATTTCTGTTATTTATTTGTATTTGTTCATTTTCTGTATTGCTAAAATCCAGATTGCTAAGGCTTCTTACTGCAAGTATGTTGCGTGTGTGTACAGTAGTTTAACTAGCCAGTGTTACCTGAAAGCTTTTGCACAGTACAGCCCGAAAGGCTGTCGATTACAGCGCTGAGTAACTATATTAAGGTTAATTAGTTAAAATACCCACGACTGGCTGGTAACCTGTTGACGGTGTATCCCGCCTACTGCCGGAGAAAGCTCCGATAGGCCCCAGCACGTCCGTGCCCCTCGTGAGGATAACCGGTTCAGGTAACGGATGGCTGGGAGGTGAAAATGCTTGAAGGTGTGATTCACGGTCAGTTGAGTGAAATCCTTGATGGCCTTGACACTTCTCAGCTAAGATTAACATGATCGCTGTTGTCAGCAGGCAGGTTGGGAGGGATGGGATGGGATGTTATTGGCCATGGCAAGCTTTCAACTCCATAGGATGACGGATACATATTGCATGTGCACAGTGGCGGGCCGTGCATTTCAAGCTTAGGCCTTCAGTGACGTCACATACATGAACACAATACTGTATAGGCTCGTCAAGCAGCACTTAATTTCAGGAGCATTTAAAACCATCAAGTATGCATTCACAATTAAGAGCAGGAAACTAAATTTACAGATAGTCAAAAAAAAAATATGATTTGAAAATACGAAATAAAATGCCACCCAAATTACGCTGTGTGATCTTAAACAAGTCTGTCCAATAAATTGCGCAATGTCGCAGTTTCATATAAGACACCAACCAAACAATAACAAAACAAACAATTCTTTGAAAATAAACAGATCATTTGCATTTTGAAAATTGGCGATACAACAGCAAATAACTGAAAATGTTGAGCAGCTGAGATTGAACGAACTTTCGTGCACGAAGATGACTACAATGCGCCATGATAAATTGCAGGTGAGCAGATTTATTTGATACATTTTTGTATCTTTGTCATTTTATTTCGTTACCATGAATTTAATACTAACAAAATAAAATGACAAGAAGAAATGTAAAATAAAATTCATTGACTCACCAATGTAGTTCTCCACAGCGTCTGCTTATTTGAAAATAAAGTTGATCCTCCTTTCTTTTCTCAGGAACACTTCAGTGGCTCTGTTGTACAGTTTTCAAGTCCAATTGCAAGTCCTTTTCTATCGACATGGAAGCTAATGCTGAAGGCCTTTTTTGTCCGGTCATGTTTCTGGTATAATTGTAATTTCCCTATTTTTTTATTTTTTTTTTTTACTTTTTCGTTGTGGAGCTCCGTCTCCCAATGTGCCTGTTCACCGAGCTGCAGTTCTACGCGAGTGTCCCCAAACGTTTTTAAACGCACCAGTCAGTTGCAAGCAATAGGCATTCCCAGCAGTACAATTTGCAGCGTTTCTCAGAGGCTGTGAGCCACGGGTACCGTTCATAATTGATCGTCTGAAAATGACAGACAAACCCTTTTCCTTGCTGGGACAGGCTAACTAGCGCAGGAGTTGGGCGACCTCTTTGCACAATATCCAGCTTTTCGTGGAAGGCCCGTCTTGCAAATTGTGTGGAAAGTAGTTCTGCAACCAGATCAACGTCTTCTCCTTAGGCCATTTTGAGTTAAAATGTGAGTGATAGCTCGAACAGACGCTCATCCAATCTTTTTTTTTTTTTAATCTTTATTGAACAAGTCAGGATACAATTCTCAGGAAACAGAAACGGCGCTAATCCAATCACCGAACGCGCACGGCCAGTCTCGACGTAAGGCCTTCTAGCTAGCCCTAGTACGCAGACGAGAACAAGTCAGGATACAGGATACAGATCACGAGTCTCATCGTGATCTGATTGGCTATTGAAACCTGACTGTGTCCGTTCATTTACAGCGAACAGGGGCCTGCTGTTTAATCTGAAGGCCCCGAGCAAGTTTAATTTACCTGGCAACACAAGCTAGCTGAAATATGATTGGTTAAAAACTCTACCATAATAAATAAGTTATTTTTCGAG